TATGATGGAATGCTGTTTGCTGATGGTTAATGATAGACTCTTGCTTATGTAATGGTTATGCTGTTTCATACATAATCTATACTGCATAACTTTACGGAAATTGGGAAGAGGGAGGAAGGGGAGAGAGAGGAGAGAAATGGAGGAGGCCATTGCTGATGGTCTAATCTATACTGCATAACTTTATGGAGGAGGCCAATCGCTGGATCTACACTTGGGTAAGTTTACTTTTTATATTTCCTTATTTTTTGGACTGATCGACCCTATTTTTTAAAATGCAGAAGAATGAGTTACAGACATTACGGGAAGTCCGAGATAGTGATGTGTCGTTGCGGACTACCGTCGTTGTTGTTAACGTCACGCCAGACACATAGCTACGGGAGGCAATTTTACAGGTGTCCGCGGTGGGGACAAGGACCTGAAGACTGTAAATTCTTCAGGTGGACGAACAATACAACTGTTTCTACGATATCCCAATTGGACACAGATACTAGGAGTTCGAGAGTACCACAACAGGAGACCACCGCATATGGTTCGAGTTCTTCCGTGTATACCGCACCCCATCAAGACACGCTTGCTCGGGGGTTAGAGGGAACAGAAACGGGCAACATTCGTCATGATGTGACTTTACATGTTAAACTCAATATTGTCATATTTTTCCTTGTAATTTTAACATGTTATTTCTTCTTTTTTTTGGTGTCTTTCTATAATCCATATTAGAGTTCCATAAATGTGTATTGAACTTTCCTTTATATCACTATGTTTTGTTGATGTAATCACAGCTTTTTTGAGTTATATAAATATTATTAAACTTTTTTGCAATTTCATTTCTAGACATCTGAGAAAATAACATTCTGCTACACAGATTATTCATTCAACTCAAAAAATTTACAAATAAGTTGTTTACAAAACGCACAAACCAAACAGCTGAACTGTTTATTCAGACCAGGGGAAAAAGGGTCAATTTTTCACAATCAGCTGTTTTCCAGACGCGTTAACCAAACAGCCAGACAACTTATCCGGATCAGCTGGTCATCAGCAGATTATCAGGATAAGCTGTTTATCAGCAGAAGCTGGATAAGCTGCAGCTGCCCCAAACAGACCCTATGTCACAACCAATATTTATAATATTCAAGGTGGACTACCATCTTCTTGGCAATTATCTACGGCCTTCATGACCTATTACAACTTTATTGTTGAAGTACCGTTCTACATCAACATTGCATTCCATATTATATAATCCAACTGTCTTAAGTACTTATAATTCCTTAGTGTATCAATTTTACTAGACTAGACCTCGTGATTATTTATCTTTTTAGAACTTTTCACGCAAAAATCACAGTGTCATTTCACTATAGATGTATGTATGTTAGATAATGTACTATGCTGAAACACTAATTTATTACTTTATGCCGCCGATCTTCTAGCACACATTAATAACATCAACGGCCCTTATAGATGTGTATAATTAGGAGATTATAAAGTAAGTTGGGTCAGATATAGTGATTATTTAATCTACATAATCAATTATATTCAACATAATATTGGTCAATTTAAAGATGCATAAAAAAAGTAAAAATATTTATTATTTCCCTTTACCACTTCATTGTGTAACGCTTACGATTTTAAAAGAAGCGAATCTGCAACGGTCAGATTTTGACCGGCATTAACCCGTCACTCGGGCAACAATAACCGGGTCTCAAATTAGCTTTGCTTTTACAAAAATAGCCCTTACCGCACAATCAAAGCCCTTCTAGAATACCCAAGGCCACGATACGCTATTGTAATTATCAGTAGCAGTAAAGGGCATTGTTTAGATTAAAAAAAAATATTTTTTTTTCTATTTATTAGCTAATCTACTGGGTTAATTACAATTGCAATTACATATGGCCCTAATGGGGGTAAACGAGTCGAGTCGAGTCGAGCTCTAGCTAAACTTTACGAGTCGAGCCTGATTAGTATTAAAGAGAAAAAAATATTAATTTAAGTTGATATTATAATGAAATAATCATTAAAACAAATATTTAGGAGATAATTAATAAGAAATAAATGCAATTACATAATGAATATTATATATTTTTAAAACTTTTGGAAAATTTTAAAGAAAAAATTCTTGAATATTAATTTTAAGTATATTTATTATTATTATTATTATTATTATTATTATTATTCTAACAAGTTGAGTCGGAGTTCTTTTGAACTTGGCTTGTTATCTCATCAAGTTCAGTTCACGAGCCACTTATCAAGTCGAACTCAAGCCCACCCATGATCGGCTCGACTCACTTACACATCTATAGAAATCTATGCCCCACCCATAATTCTGTTAAGTGATACAATACATTCATTTTTATAAGGGGCATTTACATGCATACCACCCGATTCTTACATATTTACATATCTAACATTTATTTTATTTTTCTAGTTTTATGTATAAAAAAACATAGGGCCTAGGTGGTATTATGTTAATCTTCTGTTTTATGAGGATATGTAAGAATACCATAGAAAACATAGCCATTAATATTTCTTAATTTCTAATAAATAGCATCTCTTAAAAAATATTTATACGATAAGATAATATTTAGGTCATTTTTTGTTAAATGATTTATACATATTCCCTTATAACTCATTATCAGTCTATATAGTTAACAAGGCATAACAGGCTAAATACAGTGTAGGTGATGTTTTCGAACTGGGTGATTAATTGTTTATTGAATTTGACAGAATAGGTGATGTTTTGGAACGAGAGATGAAAGAACCGCATAATTAGTGCTTATAAAAAAAAATAGTGAAAGAAATAACATTTTATAAAATCATCAACATTAAATAATGAGGCAATTGAATCAAGGTACAAAACTCTAAGTAGGTAATTTGGTCAACTTGATCGAATTTTTCTCACGTGCAATATGAAAATTAGGACTTTGCTAAAGGTTGCTTCAAAATAACTTCTTTAGAAAAAAAAAGGTGCCCTTTAGCTGCGGTTGATGACTCTAAGCACTTCACGGTAAAGATATTTATGCAAAGTGAAGTTAAATTTTAACCAGTTTTAAAAAATTAAGTCACATCTCGGATCATGTTGGTCATTGCCGTTAGAATTGATGGTTGTCAATGAAAGATGGAGTTTGAGGATTTATTGTTGATGATTTCTATTTGTTGAGCAATTTTCGAACATGTTCCTAAATCATTAGGCTATTTTAGGGTTTTTATTAGTAAAAAAATATTGAAAACTCAATTTGATTGGTCTATTGATATCCACATGTATCATTTTTCCTTGCCTTACTACCTAGTACTCAGTAGCTACCACACAGACACACACACACACACACACACACACACACACAGAGAGGAAAATCATATATAGGGTTGAATTTCATATATATATATATATATATATATATATTTGATGAGTAGTATTTTTAAAAAAACTACTTGATTGCAAGGCTACAATGATTTATAATCAATTAAAAGTATTAATTAAGAAAATAAGATAAAAATTATTAGATTAGATTCAAATGATGTTTTAAATCTTGTCTCAATCCTTAACATTGTATGACTACATGATTAGGGTTGTCAAAACGACTCTTTATTCGTGAACGGCTCGTGTTCAGCTCGCTAAGCAAACGAGTCGAACACGAACACACTTTTTGAGCTTTAAATATGAACGAGTCTGTTAGGTATGACTCATATACCATAAATGAGACAGATGCTGGAGCGGTGCGGAGCCCACGAGCGGAAGGATCTGTATAATCGGACGAGTTTCATTATGTGGGTTGGGGGTGCGGGGGCAACACCCAGCAGTTTGGTACAGAGTAATTTAAGTAATTACATATTGTATTATATGTCCTGTTTGTAACCCTAGGCGAGCCTCTGAGATTCTGAATCTTGTATTATGTATCATTTTCTGAATATTGAAAAGAAAGTCGTTGCTCTGCTTTCGAGGATGTAGGCAGCTTTACTGAACCTCGTAAATCTCTGTGTGTTCTTCTGGATTTGTGTCGACTCCTATTTTTCTTCGCCCTAAGCAGAGCCTGGGCTCGCTCGTGTTTGGCTCGTTGACACCCCTACTTCTAGTTAAATAACTTCATATGAGGTCACACATAAAAGCTTAAACATCTTGAATGATATAGAATAGATCTTTCGAAAGTCAAGTCATGCCAACTTTATTGATCATCTTTTTAAAATAAGCAGAGTGCATAATAATGAGTCATTTAAATTGAGATGACCACCATTATCCTCATCGTCCTTATTATTATTTCTTATTTCATTTTAAAAATTTGAGGTTCTCATGTTTTGTTATACCTTGTATAACCCATCATTATGTGAGACCTTCATCTCTTCTTTTATTGTATCACTAATTTGGTTTTTGTTGACATCAACATAGTGTTGTTGTATCACTGATTTGGTTTTTGTTGTCACCTTGACGTGATTTTCTAGTCATTTGATGCTCATCATTAACCTGAATATTATAGAAATCTTTTTGTTAAAATATTGCTTCATCAATTACGAGAAATATTAGATATTTACAAGTAATGATTTAAACCAATGGGGGAACATCTCAACAATGTTAAAACTCAATTTTTCTTGCATTCTTGATATTTAAGATATGTATTGTCCACGAATGTTCTACTTATCATTTTGAGATATCTATATAATACTAAAGGTCCGTTTGGGGCAGCTTGTGCGTTTCAGGATAAGCTGCTTATCCTGAAATGCGGCCTGCGGGCCGACCGCAGGCGTCGACCCGCAGCCTGCGTTTAGTGTAAAAACCCAAACGCAGTTTCGGATAAGTTGGTGAAACGCGTGAACCAAACAATACGGCGACGTTTTCAAAACGCCGCCCGCACTTATAAGCTGCCCCAAACGGACCCTAAGACAACAAACCTCTCAAGATTATCATAAATATTTGATCTTGAAATAACATGCTCATAATTTTAGGGTACTACCATTTTATTTCTAAAAATGTAATACGATTTCTAAGTATGCTTTATTTGCTTACTTCTTTATTATTTATTTTTTTTGATGGAACCTTAGTTTTCTTTTTTCTTACTAAGGGCTTGTTTGTGGCAGCTTATTTGGTGCAGTGGCGTTTTCAGACCTGTTTGGGTAAACTGCGTTTTGACAGCTTATGCGTTTTCAAAACACTAAAAACAATGTTTTCACACCGCACCTACTTAACTGCGGTGACAACTTTCTGATTGCGATCTGGCTTTTCTCAAAAATTAAAAATTTGTAATAGTCACCGCACATAATTTATCAGATTATTTTTAATCAGCTTATCAACAAATTATTCAATAAGCTGCAGCTGCCTCAAATAGACCCTAAATGCTTATATAAAAACCCAAATTCCAAACATAATATTTATTTCATTAATAGGCTTTTTGTTAAGGGGGCATTTACATCCATAGCACACATAATATGCAAATTTACATATTCAACATCAAAAATTTATTTTTTACATATACAAGGCATTGTTTACTCGCTTAAAAACGATGAATATTGATATTGTTATATATCTTCGCATTTCTTCTCCTCCCTCTCATTGATACGCACATCGTTTTGATGGGAATAGGAGTTTAATGATATATTGCTAAATTTATTTTTGTTTAAAATCAAAGTATTATGCATATAAACCTCCCATTTTTTATTTTATTGCGACATTTCCATAAATAACAACATTTTTATGTATTTTTATATCTAATATCTAAAATTTGATATTTATATTAATAGCATCTTAATGTTATAAACAAAAGATATATTTTAATTTTTAAAAGTAAATAATAGATCAATTCTTGATTAGTATTAAATTGTTGAATAATATGAAGATAAGTATAAAAATTTAAAGGTCAGATATGGAAATACATAAGAATTGTAGGTTAGGAATGTAAACACTCCCATAAAGGAAAATGGCTCGCAAGTTTTGAATTTAAACGGTGATACTAAGCATTTGAAAAAGAATAAGAAGAAAAAAAATAAGATAACTTGCGAGTAGATTGGCTGCAGGGGCCAACCCGCCGGTGAGACGGCTCTTCTCCGAAGCAGAATTAGGGTTTTGATCTATCACCTCAGCCCCTCGTCGTCGTCTCCTATGGCGTCTTTCGAGAAGGATGCCGCCCTTTATGCCGTTTCTTTCGACGCTCTGACCATGTGAGTTGGCTTTTGGTCCTCTTCGAGCCTCACTCCTCTTCAGTTTCTTTATGCCCATGTTTAACTTGATGATTCTGCTTTTTCTTTTGTTTGTTTTCTGCATGTCTGAAGTGATCCGTTGACCTCTTGATTGCGATTGCGACCTGCTTCTTCCTTCTTTTGATTGGGTTTGTGCGAATCAATTCCATTGGAGTGTTATAATTCTCGATTGTGATTGACTTGGTTTTATGTATTGTTTATCACTTGATTGGTTTGATATTATATGCAATCATGTTTTCATCATCTCAATTTTTTTCCTCTTTTTTGAGAAAGGCGGACAAATAATTTCTTGGTAACTAGGAGAAAAAGCAACGTGAGTTAGTCCGAAAATACATAATGTGAATTTGGTTTATGCTCGAGAATTTTGCACCCATCTCACGTGTAGGGGTGTGAACGATCCCATTTCGAGCCGATGAAGGGCCAGGCTCGAAATCGAATAAAATTATTTTTGAACGGATCAAAATCGGGTGGATCGATCCAGTAAATTTCCATCCGATTTTCGAGCCGGCTCAAGTTGAAAACGAGACGGCTCGAATGCTATTTTTGTCTCATGAGCCAGATCTGGCTCAAACCCGCCTTGGTCTGACTGGCCAGCCCACAAAAAAAAAAAAAATGTATTTTTTTCTGTGAAAAGAGAGCATTTGAATCTCTGCCACTCCGCTCAAGCATAGAGGACCTAACCAACTGAGTCGGCAATTCATTATGTATGTAAAACTAAAATTTAGCTGTTATATATGTAAATACATAAGAATTTATGTCAATCCCAATCCGAGTCAAGGATAGATCGAAATCGGATCGAAATAAATTAGATCTTTTAATTTGACTTGTAGCTTAGCTCGAATGGTTCGATCTAATTTCAATCCGAGCTAAAATTTGATCCGATCTTCGAGCGATTCACGATCTTCAAGACAATTTCACAGCCCTACTCATGTGTTTGGTGGTGTGCCAATGTGTATAACATCGACATTTAGCAAATTATTTTATGGAGATTGAAAAAGAGAAGAAGCTATTTTACTGGAAAGAAATTAGTTGGCATTATGAACTTGTAATTCATGGTGGAAGATCAAAAAGTCAAATATGGGCACGTTATAATTGTTTTTGTCACACTATCGTGGATATTTCATCAAAGGCAGCTTAACATGAGCTAGTAGTAGAGTTTTCTAAGCTAAAACAACTCTAAGGCGGTGTTTGGCTACAAGTTTGTTATTCGTTAAATAGAATTTATCAAATCCACATTGTGACGACTCTGCTCGTGGATGACGGTGGAATAAATCTGCCTCGCAATCTGATTTACTAAATTTGAATTTATGCCGTATAAGTGACAGAATGTGAGAAGGAAAAAATAGAATGTGAGAAAGTTAGATTTAACGGAGCGTTGGATTTAATTTTTACTTGATGTTTACTTGAATTTAAGTTAATTCCATGGCTAGATTCAATTAATAGGATGCTACCGAACACCTTCTAAAGATCTATTATATGGTGATTATCTATTAGGCAAACATACCCACATATTTTTTAGACCCGCAAACCAGGTGACCACATTATCATTAGAACTACATTAAAATGACCTATTTGGACTTGTGATTTTTACCAGTTTAGGATGGAATAAATATTAGCTGTTATGATCAACCCTTGAAGGCGTTTGAAGCTTTTTGCCATGTAATTTTAATTTAGGTCATCGATTTAAGATCAAACGGTCTAGGTTAAACATTGTATTTGCCCCAAGAGTTGTACAATTTTTTATATGAAGTGAATCTATGTCTCTTTGGGAAAATCAGAAAAGAAAATTTAAGAAAAATATTTTTGTTATTAAATAAGACATTGAAAATATTATATCATTTTGAAAGATAAAAAAATTATTTTATAATGATGTAGATTATAAAAATAAGGATTTCAAATTTTAAGTCATGTTTCTAGATTCTGTTTAAATTGGGTAAGATAGTGCTTATTTTATTTGGGTATAGTTCCTTATAAAGGCAAATCCTTATGATTGGGAAGTTTGATGATCAAACATCTGTAATTTGTTATTCGACTGGCTCTTTATAATTTATAGAATCTTAATTCTCTGCTTACATCCATTTCTTTTATCGAATTTGGCATAACTGTTCAAATATAAAGCCCTATCATTCAAAAGTTATGATTTATAATTAATAAGAAACAAAAAAATGTATTTTTTTCTACAATTTTTTTTGGTTTTCATTGAACACTAACTTTGGTTTGATTTGTATTTCTTAGAATTTTGTAGAGTTCTTTAGTCTAACCCAAACCAATTGATCAGCCTGTTCTTTACCCGGCAGGTTAAGATGCTTTAATCTAATTCCAAAATTCAACTTTTTTTAATTTGAACTGAATGTAAGACTAAGAAAATGAATTTTATTTTATTGAACTAATAAATTTACCTATTCTTTAATTGGGCCAGAATTTAATGTTTCAAATCGAAGCTCAAAATTGACTTAACATTTCCTGATTTCACGTTTAGGTCAAATTTGGTCAATGGATTTCCCATGCAGCTTTTTCTGAATGTTTGATATGTATGCTATCCTAATCATGTTGATTTATCCCAACAGGAAGTAACTCTTGCATTGTTGAGAAGGGTGTTTATATGATTATTGAACTTAATTATGCTTGTAAGGACATTTACAAGCACTTGATAATAACTAGTTCGATGAGATGTTATTCTGGATCTATTCTAATTCAAAGTTCTAGGTGAAGACAATAATACTTATTTTCATACATTGTGATTAAAAAAACTGTAAAACTTACAATTGAGTGAAAAATATGATTTATAAGAACACCTTTCCTACCCCCATAGTCTATGGTGTTCATTGAGGTTCCAACATAAACCACATAATCCTTAAAATAGCTTTCAAACTATGTAATATTTCAAAATTAGGCTTATTGATATGGAAAATGTTATTTCTTGATTTTACCATGTAAAAATATTTTAACAAAAAGGTTTTATTTGGGATTCAACCTCACCCGAAATGTGACATTCTCAACCATTTCTTCATTTGCTTGCCTATTTTTAATACAGAGTAAGGCTATGATTCCTCAGAAAATTCACATTTAAAGTGAAGATAGCACTTCATTAATATGGATCAATTAAATTGGGGAGCGCATGATATACATTTGCTTGGAATAATTTTTATTGGTCCACCTTATCAAGTGCTTAAATGGCTTCAATTTAAATATGGAATTTTGTGGAGTATATCATTTCTCTTTTGCAAAATAAACTTCTAAAAATTTAACGTGAGTATATAGTAAGAGGGCCAAATTAGCTCGAGCCAAGCTGGAGGTAACCATATCTCGATTACACTCATCCTTGAGCTGGCTTTATTACGTTAAAACTTATTTATTTTTTGTTTATTTTAAAAATTGATTGCTTGAAAGCTCAAAGCTAAAAACCATTTCCCAATCACTATTCATCATATTATGGCTGGCTCAAGGCACATTCGTCTTCCCAATTCACAACTCCCTGATTCTCCCATCCTAATACTCTCCTCCCTAGATCGAGATATCTTTAACAAATTAAATTCGCTGCATAGAAATGAATCTGCCCTCATCAAGTAGAGGACCATTCCACTAGATTTATGCCCTGACCATTGGATTGATTTAGTGGGCTCTTTTAACTCCCCTTCCTCTACTCTATCCTCTTTTGTCTACAAAACAACCACATTGTGATTTGCACATCTCGTCCTTAAGCATCTTTTACATTTTCCTTATTGTAGTAGACGACCGTATGTCATCTAATTTGTTTTACTCGGATAAGTAACAAAAACTTATTGTTGGCAACTTCCCTTTACATATTTTTCTTAACGGAGCTTATAGTAGCTATAATATGATGTGTTGAATTTGTGCTGCTTTCCTCGAAATAACTCTATCTTAACTAGTTTTGAGCAATTCTTGAACTTGATTCTGGGTTAGTTGTAGTTCTACTCAACTCAAGCATGCCTCTTCTCTAAAATATGCTGATTTTCTTAAAATAATGGGTTGTATAGCCTTGAACAACTCAAAAATTTTTTACTAACCTTTTTATCCCTATTATTATTATTATTTTTGAATTACTGTTAAGTTATATTGTTTATGACATTTGAATATTTCTATCTTTTGGCTTTTATTACTTTATCTTCTTTTGCTGTTTGTCTAGGGAATGGTTCATCTAGATTTTTATTTAGGGATTAATTTTTAAGATTCAGTTGTTTCTCTTTGCTATTATGGCATAAATAGGTTCTTATACATAGATTGGCAGTTCCAGTAACTCATTATGTGGCAAAGTTGTTTTGTTGATGGAATAAATTTTCATTTGAGAGAGATAGTGGGCTATTTCTTTCTTTTCCTTGTGAGATCAAAGTCAGTTTCTTGGGCTGGTGTTCTGATGGAATGGGGGTAGGAGGGGAAATAGATGCTGCTACATTGAGAAGGAAATACTTGCTTTGGTATAGCTAAAAATGTTTTGAAATAGCTTGTTGGATTTGAAAATAGAAATCCGATTTTCTTGTGGCTTATGAGCTATGCTCATTCCATGCTTTGCCAAAGTTTGTAATTGTATTGGATGTAAATATTCAGTTCTTTTTTTTTTATAAATCATAAATTGATGCTTAGCTGTCTTATTTTTTGTTTGCCTTGCTTCTATATACAACCTTATTTTTTAATCTCACAATTGTTATTTAATTTTCTTACCAAAAAAGTTATTTCTTGTATTAGGTTATAGATATTTTTTAGATATTTTTTTTCAATTCTTATTCATGCTTCATCCATCATAACCCTATAAACCATCATTTGAAATTTGTGAGTCAATGATGATTTAAGCTCTCTTTTCTATCTTATCCTTGGCTCAACTTTTGAATTTACAAAGAGTTCTCTTTTTTTCTACGCTAGCTACACTGCTATAGCAACTACATCTCTAATCCTAATAATTGTTGTACCTAAAAAGTTACATAATTGTTATGTATTTTGCTGGATTCAATTTAGTATGCCCTAATAATTTATCTTAGAATTAAAGGTTCACATGAATTGTAATAGCATTCGAACTCCACGTCAAAATAGCACTTTGTTAGAGTTGAGTTAAAGATAATCCAATTGGTTGCAACTCCTTTTTTTCATAAAGTACTTGCACCACAGATACAGTCTCATTCTCATTCTCATCTTCTTCATATATTTACAACTGATGCTTTGTTTATTCGAGTTAATTACATTTTTATGGTAAACACTTATTATCGAGTGCAGTCAAATTAACCTTCATTCAACTAGTCCGACCCCCTTTATCATAAAATTACATGTGCTCAAATGTGCCACCGCTCCTTTTTTTAAAGAAGCTTGATCAAATTCTATACATGATGGAGTCGACATGTGCTTAATTGAAGAGCACTCCGAATTCCATGTTACTCATGATTAAGGCCTTCTTCATAAAATCAATGTACATTTAATGAAAAAAAGTCCTATACGGAGAAGGTTTGGGGTCATGATAGGGACATGAAAGGAGGAGAAAGTCGGAAATTTGTAAGGGATTAGTGTTGACATTATATGACCTACAGGTGACAGATGATTTCTTTCCCTTGGACTGGGAAGAACTGATATGATTTTAGGAATGAAGTGGCTACAGTGGGGAGACAAAGGTGAATTAGAAATTCTTGAATATGGGATTCAGGAGGAGGAGAGGAAGGTGGTGCTGAGAGGAGATCCTAGTCTTTGCAGAATCATAATCTTACTCAAAACTATGGTCATTACGATACGTGGAGCAAGATGGGGCTATTTGGTGGAGCTGCAAAGCCAAAGTCAGTGGATTTTCCAAAATATGTTTAACAGCTTCTGCATCAGTTTTTTTACATCTTTCTGCCGCCTAGCGGACTCCCGCTACCGAGGAAATAGGAGCATGCCATTACGTTAAAAAGAGTTCTTTCTATCAGTGTCAAACCATACCTATATCTTCAGGTTCAAAAAGATGAGATGTAGAAGTTGATCCGAGGGACGCTCCAAGCACGGATTATTAGACACCCAGTGTCTATTTTCCAGTCCAGTTCTATCAGTGAAGAAAACTGTAGCTAGCCATTTTGATGTGGCACTATTTTCCAGTCTAGTTCCTTCGTTCTTCTTCCCTGATTGCACACGTCGCTCGGTTCCGTCACAATGAACAGCTCAAGCCGCAGCCCGCTGGCAAGTCGTTGTCCCTTGGTCGCCTTACCAGTGAGCCGCAATTGCGTCGTTGCCTTTACAGAGAGTCGCGATCCCGTCGTTGCCCTCCCAGTGAGTCGCGATCCCGTTGCCGCCTTCCCATTCGCGGCTTCTTTGCGGTCCCTTCGTCGCCTTCTCAGTGAGCCGCAATTGCCTTTGTTTTTATAGCGAGCCACGATCCCGTCGTTGCCTTCCCAGCAAGTCGCGATTCCGTTGTTGCCTTCCCAACGAGTAGCGATCCCGTTGTTGCCTTCCCAGTCGTGGCTGCTTGATCGGGGTGTGCGGCAATCATGTGCTCACTCTTAGTTTTGTGTGTAGCGATGCTCGTGTTGGACGGCCAAATTTGCTTTCAGGTCAGTTGTTCTTGCATCCCTCGTATCATGCAAGTATACATAATCGTTTCAAGTGAATTGGATTTTTGAGTCTAGATTGTTGATCCCACAGTAAAAGAAGTGTTACAATATTAAGAAAAGTTCTAGCCTACTAAACTAATTTTCACCTTGAAAGTCTTGATAGTTTTATGGTTATATTAATGGTTTACTTCAATTATCAATTCTATTAATTATATTAAAATTTGGAGGAAATCAAGTGATAAGGTTACCCTCCCCTTTGCAATGGAGGTGTGTAGATAGTGAATGTAATAAATTAAAAATGTTGTAAGTGATAAATAGGAGTAATTATCTTCTTTACCCTCTCCCGAGTGCATAAAGAAATTTGACTCAATTGATTTTAATTCCTTAAACCCCAATTCGATTGCATTGAAGAGTATTTCTCTATCTATTTGCATCTCCCTATAGGTTACTTTTGTTTCATACCCTATAGTTCAATGTGATTTTTCCTAGTTATTTATGTCACAGCTCTCTCGAGTTTCTATGGGTTCACAACAAATTTTAACAAACTATTTGACCAGAATAATAAATAAATGAATAACAGAAGGAAAATCATCACTTTGAAGAGTAAAAACCAATTTTAAAAACATTTCACCATTCTACACTAGCTACTTATTCATCACAAGGAGAAAGGTAAAAAAGAACTACTCACAAAGCATGGAGAAATTGTCACAACACTTTTTTAAAACAAGACAATCTATAAAGAAAATTACAATACAGAGGAGTCTACAATACTTATCTTTTTCCTTTTCCAAGCACGGGAAATCTCTCTCAAGAAGATCTCTTAAGTCCTTGGTGCCTTGCTGAAGAACCTCTCTACAATTTCCCTCCAAAATCTTACCAAACTCTGAAATAAAAAACAGTCTAAACTATAAATGAACTATAGACTTCCCCTAGGATTTCCCTTAGGGTTCGGAGGTCTTCTCCCCTTCTTAGGCTGCCTAAAATTGCTCTAAACATCACCAAATGTCGAATATATTCGTAGCATAACTGTCGAAGGAACTGCTGAAAAACTGCAAAACAGTTTTGGCGCCGAGGCACCAGACTCTCGATCTGGTTCGGCTGAAATTGGCACATAGGCGCCAAGTGGATAGCGCCAAGACCCTGGGGTGCAGGGCCTTGGCGCCCAGAGGTTGGCGCCAATCCACTTGGGTTGGGGTCATTTTGCTGCGTTTCACCTCTGCTTCGCTCCGCTTCCTCGTCATTTCATTCACATCTACTACATGTTGTTTAAAGTGCAATTGCATCCATTAGTAGACGCAAAAGATAAAAAGGAATTTAGCATGCTTTTAGACATATGACTGCTTCGCTTTGACGAAGCAGAATGAAGGTACGCACTCGGTCGCTGCTGCTTGCACCGATCACCAGGTCAATCTCGAGGATGACAGGCAGCTGTTAGTGTTAGGCTCTGATACCATATGGAAATGAAAACTTTAATAAAAATCTTATCTCCTTCATTCATGAGTTATGCTTCTATAGAAGCTGACAATTTTTTTTACAAATAACTCCTAGACTTCTTCTATATTCCCTATTTACAAAATAAGATACAGATCTCAACAGTTTGTTGCCACAATCTGTTTAAGTTATGGTGCATCACTTTTGTGGAGCATCCTAACACTAGCAAAATTTAAATTTAGATTCATTTCATTAGTTTTGGAAAAAAAAAAATTATGATTTTCTGTCGATTTAAAATCAACTCCCGATCTTTTCCATCTTGGCCTGTGACGTGGGATGTTTTTGAATCTTCTAGTGATATTAAAAAATTTCAATGCATAACTTGCTTGAAGTTGTTGATAGCAATGGGTTTCCATCATGCTTCAGATATATAATCTTTTTTTTTTTTCCTTGAGTTACTGTCGTCAATGGCTGTTAATCTTTCTAGTATAACGGCTTGCCGTTTGGTATCTTGGCTTTTTTAGTAATAACTTATTGTGCTCTTCAGTGTCTTAAGTTAACATTTTATAAATCATCAGGTTGATGGCTGCTTTATTGAAGGTTGAATTCATGAACGAGTCTTAGAAGCTCTAAATCTTGATGGCCTGATAGTTCATACAAGAAGTCAAGGATGAGGAAGTTCTTTTCTTTCAGATCTTCATCTAGTGGTGGAAATGACAACTTTGCTCCTTCAGAACCGAACAAGAGCAGGAAGAAGATCAGTTCAGGAGTGACCGAGGGGATTAAAGATGAAACTTCCACACAGGAGAGTATCTGTAACGTTTTTAAGACTCCGGAAGGCTGTGTTCTCAAGCCTCTAAATCAAAATTTGAAGGATGAGAGATCTTCTAATCCACATCTGCGAAGGAGCTTGTCTCTCACATCTGAAGCTCTTTGCAGCCATTTAAAGGAGGGAAGTTTTAGTTCTTCGACTGATCAGAGCAGAATGATTTCCTGCTGCAATAATGATCAACATTTCGGCCGATATCCTCTTCGGTAAGCTCCATTATTCTCTAATTTCTATATTATATTGTTTGTCTTTTCTTCCTTAAGCACTAAGAGTTTTTCCTATCATTTTTTGTTTCCACCTGTTAGCCATGGATAGATATATATGACATCAGCTCTTCATGCAGGTATTGTTGACACACTTTCATTTTTTGTAGGTGTATTTGTATATTGGTGAACTATTTTTTCTGTCGCGTAATTCATCCATTGTTAAAGTTTGTATATGGTGATTTCTTTGGAATTTCTTTATCAATAAATAAATCAATTTGTATATTATCTCTGAAATTGATCACAAATGCCTCTTAGGAGCTATAAATTAGGAACAATTTTTTATAGTAAAAAGGACTAAAATTGGATAAAATTTGAATCACATTTTTTATGTGAGATCATTTTTGATTAATTTTATATAGTTGAGGGGTTAAATTGGAGAAATATGATACTCGGGGCAAAATTGTCTACGCAAGAATGGTCAGGGGATTGTTTTGGGATTTAAACTCTCTTTTTAAATAAGCAGAATTGGGGAGTTGAATTTTACAGTGGATTCTTTATTGTTGCAGCAGCGATGGATCACTTACTCCAGATAGATATGGAGCAGTTGAAAGAGAGAATCTTTGGTTGAATGCTTTTGAGAAACGAAGTTCTGCCAGTTCCTTTGGTGTTCGTCAAAATTCTTCAGACCCTACATCGGCTTGCAGTTCTCCAATTCCTCTAAGATATTGAACAACTTGCTCATCTCGAATTTCTTCTCAAAACAAAGTTCTCGACCTCTATATTGATGGAGAACATAAGATTACCAAAGGAAAAGATGATTCAAGAAAATGTGTGTCTGAAACTGGGGAAGATGGCGCCCTAGTTGAAAATAGTAAAATTTCTATTTTAGGAAGGCCACCAAGAGCTTTGTGTACAGCACCAGTCTCACCTCATCATAGCATAGACAATCATCGATCATACTCATTTAGGGAGATCAGAGATAAGCATTATGAACTCCCAAGCAGGGAATGGATAAGTGATGATCTCAAGCCTGCATTCCAACAGAAATACTTAGAAAACAACAGTGAGAGGACAAGTGCATTGCTTGGGAAATCCTTTTCTGGCCATCAGGAATGCGACTCTCGAATAAATGCTCCCATTGAAGACATTTATGAGAACTCGTCCGATGCGAATCCAGATAGTACGTCTCAAGGATGCTCCTTGGATCTCATTCCAATCAATGGGACGTTCAATGGTAATTGGTTTTATGACCTTCACAGGAAGGTTTGTTTGTCAAGCAGAGGGTCTAAGACCTCTTGGAACGATGAGCTAATTAACTCTAAGCTTCAAGAGAATGCCATCAATGAGGATTTGCTTAAAAAGTTGAAGGAGGTGGAGGAAAATTACTCTTTGTTTACTGAAGAGGATCCTGAATCTGAGAGGTTTGGTTACCAAAGTTTAAACAAAGCAGCATTACTCGAGAACATAATGAAGCTCAAAGAAAATAGGAAACATTTGGCTGCCGAACTCTTTTCACAATTAAGGAGTCGACTGGCAGAGAGGTCTTTTGCAAATGAACTTTTGAAGCAATCTAAGTTGGAGCTGAATACACGAACTCGGAGGCTGGAGAACGAAAAGAATGAACTGCAGCTGAGTTTGGAGAATGAGCTTGATAGAAGATCTAATGAATGGTCATTAAAGCAATCCAAGTTCCAGTCTGAAGAGCAAAGGCTGCGTGAGCGGGTAAAAGAGCTTGCTGAGAAGAACGTATCACTTCAAAGAATAATCTCTTCATTTCAAGATACTGAACTGGAGACAAGAAACAATGTAATGAATATAGAGAGGCAGTTGAATGAAAGCAGAGCAAGCCAAGATGAGCTAGAAGCAGAAAGCCTTAATCTTCATCAAGCCTTGTTGGAGCTGCAGGAGCGCTGCAATGGTGCAGAGGAACAACGGGACCAACTTAAAAAAAGCTTCAAGGAGGTAGAAAGGGATAACATGGAGTTACGGAAGTTGGTGGGTAGATTACAAAGATCGTGTAGCGAACAAGATAAAACAATTGCTGGACTTAGACAGAGTTGTAGTAGCGAACTTGAGAAGCTATTCTTAGAGGGAGATACTGACGTTGTTCAGCTACAGACTGAGAAAATAAGGTTGACGGGTGTGGAGCAGAAGCTCAGGAGTGAGCTGGAGTCTTGCAGAATTGAAACAGAATCCCTGCAGAATGAGAATATTCGTCTTTTGAATCGCTTACAAGGAACTGAAAGTAGATATAATCTCTCATTGGTGAGGCTTAATGTAGAGCTTCATGCATGGTTAGAATGCTTAAAGATGAAGAGCTTGTCATTGCTTGATGATAGTAGCCATTTTTGTGGCCAGTTGTTAGATTTAATTGCTTGTAAGCGCTCTGAGAATTGCGAAAATGCTAACAGTGATTCTGATTCATTTTGTGCTGTTGATCTGACTTTTAAGTATCAAGATTTAACAAGAGCAATAGGAAGTTTTAGAAGAAGTTTAAAAACAGTTTCAACGACATTGGAGGAAAAAGAAAGCATCCAAACATCGCAATGCATATGTAAGAATACAGAAATGGAGCCATCAAAGCAGCAGGAGGGTCACAGATCAGCATGGGTTAGTTGTCCTTTTCTTTTTTTTTTTTTTTTTAAATATATGTGAAGTTAAGATAGGCCATAACAAATCTCTTGTTGAGAGTTGGGTTTTGAAGATGTCTAAATATATAAGAAATGATTATATAGTGTGAAAATAATCTTCTGATTGTTTACATGGGGCCATTTTAGTTGCAGAGTCTACAAGTGTCAAATTAATCAACATAATCTTTAAATCGAGACTAAAATAGTATTTCATGGAGATTATTTCAGCCCATATTAAAATGTCTAGGGACTAATTTGACATTTTATAAAACCTGAGACTAAAATGGCCCCTACAAAGAGTCGGGGCACTATTTTGACAGTTTTCTCAATAGTTATGATACCTATAATTCTGCTGTTACTACATTTCTTAAATTTAAATTAACCTTTCATTGATGTACCTTCACGTACATCTTTGGATGTGCATAATTTTCCACTGCTAATATTACATTAGCTTGTAGTCTCACCACTTGTCCTTATTTAATTTTGGTCAGATATGTAATTTTCAAATTTTTGACCTGACTAGTGATTCTCTCATCCAAATCTAGTTCTCTTGAGCAGTATAGGTGATAATCTACATTATTTCAACATTTTACCAACAGCTAAATACATGTACATCATATTGTACGTAATAGCTTTCATTGTGCATTTTTTTTTTTGTTTTCTGTTGTTAGATATTTACATTTGAAATAATTTGTTCAGAATGACATGGAAGTGGAACTGAAGGCAGAAACTATATTAACTAAACTATTAAGAGAGAAGATTTATTCCAGAGAACTGGAAATTGAGCAATTACACAGAGATTTGGCATCTTCAGTTAGGAAATGTGATCTGCTTAGCTCTGATATCCAGAGGCTAATGGATGAAGTCTCCTGCCTTAAACAGAAGAAAAGGGATATGGAGATTCAGGTGAAAAATTTTACGCATCGCTTAAAACATAAAAGTTCAGTTATGATTAATGTATATTTATACCCAGTGATTTGCAGTTTTAAACTATTTATAAAGGATTTGATATTACTAAAAGTTATAATGGAGTTGCATCTCTAAATAAGGTATCACAAAGCATTTCAATAACTCGAACAATCTTGAACTGCCATTGCTATGTTCAAATCTGCTCATATTCTGCATAATTTTAGGAGAGGGATTTTTTTTTATGTACAAAAATAACCATATTGAACGGAGCAAAAATGATCCATTGATGATTATAAATATTGGTGATGAATACAGATGTCGAAAAAAGATGAAAATTTCCTGCTGCTGCAGCAAGATCTACAAGCATGCGCGAAAGACTTGGCTGCTACGAGAAGCTTGGTAACGAATTTATCAGAGGAGAGAGAGCACATCTGGGAGGAAATGAAGCAGCTGAGGGAGAAGAACATGATTATGGATTGCGAGCTTAAATGTCTACAAAAAAAGATTGAATTGCTTGATGAAGATATACTTTATAAAGAAGGACAAATATCCATTCTGAAGGACAGCCTGGGGAACAAGGCTTTTGACATTATTTGCAGTCCCGTCAAGAGAAGAATTTAACTTCGATAATCAGAGTAGGAATCTGAATTTTTACATCTTTAACAGCTTACTGTTGTATTTTATGATTTCCTTTTTTATAAGATTTACATGCGTACCCCACGCTCTTCTTATGTATATACTTATATCTAACACCTAAAACTTCAATTTTTATGCATGAGAAGGCGTATTTTTAATGTGATATGAATGATTTGGGTGGTATAAATGTAAAAAAGTAAGGTTTGGTGTTAGATATGTATGTAAATACATAAGAATTGAGTGGTGGCATGCATGTAAATGCTCCTTTATATTTTCTCTTAGTCATTAGATCTGCAATGAATAGAATAATCTGATGGCTTCGAAAACCATTCCGTTAGAAAAAAATTATTCATTCTTCTACACAATCTAAATATTTATTTATTTCTATCAGGTTGCAATGTTCAGGTTCATGGATGCTGGCGCTCCTTCTGTGCGTCGCATTGAAGTTCAACCTTCGATGAACAAACAAACAAACGATTACGCTGTTGATGATTCTTTCATTGCCTGTTCATATTCTGTTACACCATTGTTTGCGTTTTCCTTTTTTATTTTTTTGGGGTACCATTTTCTTACTCTAGTTTCTATAAATCGAACGGCGTGGCCGTTGATATATCGGAGTCCATATGTTGTTTTTTTTTTTTTCCTGATCTAAAGATCATATAATTTCTTCATGGACATATTCATCAGTCTAAATCATCAAATCCCATTTCAGTTCTTGGATCATTTGGCTGTTAGGAGTTGAACAGCTAAATAGTATTCATACAAATTATCTCATTTTAATAGTCAAATCCATATTTTCATCCATCGGAAAACAGTGCTGTGTAAAAATGAAAGTTTAGGTGTGAGCACTCTTGCTCCCTACAATGCATAAAACCGATAATGTTATTTTTTTATTTTTTTTTTTTTTTTTGGTTTCATGCAAATACATGGTTAGCGTAGGGGTTATTTTTGTTGAATAGGGATGTTTTCTGATAAATATGGAATTATGTTGATGTAATTTTGGTGCATTTACGTACTGCACAATTCGCATGTATTTACATATCTACCACCTAAACTTTTTTATTTACATCCACAGGACTACTTTTTAATCTCACATAAAAAAATATTGAAAAATAGGCGTTTTAATACACTGATTATGTGACCAAATTGGTGTACATGTAAATATTATACTGTGGTAGATATGTAAATAGATCAGAACTATGTGGTATGTATATAGATATTTCTATAATTCTTTTTTTTTTTTTTGGGGCTCATGCATCCTTCTTTCTGCTCATACCAAATTAGTGATTAGTATGCATTCTCTTCTTCCTCAAGCCCTATAATATATAAATACATGTTTTATATTCACTTAGACATATTACTCATCTCTTGTCCATGTTTCTATTCAATTTTCATCCAAATCATCTGAACTGATTGCCTGTACACTTTTAATCAGAAGTACGCGCTCACATTAGTAAAAATATATTACGCCTTCATCTAGATGTCGGGACGACGACGTGAATCACACCACACTGTCGTACAAGCAGCATGAGCATCATGTGATTCACGCCATCATCTGGACATCCAGTGATCCCGATGTAATATTTTTTTTCGTATTTACACTTCTCTCAAAGGAAGTATACATCCAACTTGTATACACATTGTTAATTAAAATTAAAGATAGTCATCTAAATAACTTTAAAGATCTATTTATAATTGATCAAATATAAAAAAAAAACTAGGCCTATGAACAATTTTCAGAAACATTATTGCTCAATGATGAGGTTTTCATTGACATTTTGTCAAACATTATTGTTCTTTAAGCATTAGTTGCAGGTAAAAAATGATTGGTACACTCTGGAAGCGAACAAAGGTGTGGTATACCATCCAAAATTATACATTTTAGCCCTTGCAATTATTGAATCGCTTCAAAAGGGAAGGAAAGAGGCAATATAAATATTAGTTTGTTTAGGAGTCCAGCATCAAAATATAATTTATTCAATATTAGCTGATTAATATGTTTACCTCACAATTCTCATGTATTTACATATCTGACATCTAAACTTTCATATTTACATGTACAACACATAAATTTTTTTAAAATGTTATTTTACATTTTTTGATTGAATGATTTATTGTTGTTTATCTCTTGATTACTCATTTTATTATAGCATTAGCTTGAATTGATATTACTTTATCTTTTTAATAACAAACAAGCTAAGTGGAGAACCGGCACGAACTCATATAAGTAAGCTCAAGCTGAGGGTGGTGGCTCGAGCTCGACTCAGCTCAGTTATATGCTCAGGATCATCATATCATTGTGGGTTTACGGGCAAAAGATGGGCCGACGATAACATAGGGATGAAAATACCACAACATTCGTTATAGTTTAGAAAAGATAAATAATATAATTTAATTATGTCCACTAAAATTTTAAAATTATTAATAGAAGGATGTAATTTAGTTATTTGACTTTCCTCAATTATATTATTTTACCCTAATTGTCCATAATGGATTATGATTAAAGCCATAATTTATTTTATTAATCAACAGCTCATTTAACTTTTTTTCCTTTAACCCTCTAATGAAACTAATTAATTTTATATAAATGTTAAAACTTAGTGAAGTAGATTCTTAAACTAAATTTTTTTTTAAATACATTTTAATATTTCCTAAAATTGTTTTAAAATTATGACATTTTTTTTTAATTTTAAAAACATTATTTTTTTTATAGCAAAACCAATGTGGGACTAAATTTCACTTGCATCTTTTGGGAAATTTATATACATACCACTTAATTCCTAGGTATTTACATATCAAAAACTTAAATTTTACATACCTTCTGCCATATATCTATATATATATATATATAAGAATTGGGTGGTATGTAAATGCCCCTATTTGAAAAAAAAAATTTAATTTTCTATACTACTAATATATATTTGTATCACATATATTTTTATTTTATTTTTATATTTGAGCAAACCAAAAGAGTATAAAAAATGATATAAAATTAGAGTTAGCATGGAGGTGCAAAATTATTTATTAAATAGTTTGCATATATTTATTTATTAGGTTTTTAAATAATTTTTTTTGTATGTAGTTTGAGTTTTGCATGAAATTTGCACTTTAATGTAGTAATATTTACCGTTAAAATTAATATTAAAACGTGAAATTATCTTTTTAATTTATAAAATACTATAAAATATATCGAAATATCCATAATATTATTTAATTTATTAATGATAATAAAATACAAATCTTAATTTTGAATTATGAACTATTTTTTATCAAACTTATTTTTATAATAAATTTTCCTGAAAAAAATAGGTTAATTCAAAGGTAATCCACATGCGTGCTTTCTAGGGCTAAGACACGTGCTGGATTCGATGCCACAAGTGGCAGTCTCTCCCATGACCAATGTTTGAAATTCATATTGTTTTTTTTGTTCATACCACACTTCATTGAAAACTTCGAGTGAATAATTGCGTGAAAAAAGTGTATCGAAGAGCTAGAGTTTATTTAAAATATTTACTTTGGCGCAGCTGTGATTTTTCGACTTTTCAGCTGTAGCTGCGCTGTCCCAAGAAGTTGCTGTGGAGAAGCTGACAGGTTATTTGTTGCAGCTGTGTGAAAACTGCTGTGAGACAGTTGTTTTTGAGAAATTGATCATTCTGCCCCTATTTAGTTAAACTATTTGGAATGAAACAATGACAATGCGCTGTCCCGGGAAGCTGTTGTGGGGAAGTTGACATGTTATTTGTTGCAGCTGTGTGAAAGCAGCTGTGAGACGGCTGTTTCTGAGAAATTGATCATTCTCCCCCTATTTAGTTAAACTATTTGGAACGGAACAATGACAACTTTATATATGATATATCAGAAGTAGAAATTCACTTTACAAGCTAAACATGTACAAAATAAACTTCTACAATTTTTAGTCAATCTTAGAAGTCATAAGTTTGATATATTTTTTTTTTAATTAAATAAAAACAATCCTAAATTATAGTTATTCATTTCACGTCACAATGCAGCCATGAGGAAAAACAATTGGACAGTCAGTTGAACCATAATGAATACTTTAGCTAACATCATCGCTGATGCAGTGCCGCGTCGCAGATCCCCCGCCGCCCCAAAACTCAATTTACGCATTTGGCTAGTAATTAAAAGTTCATATTTACATTAATAACACTAAAATATTTGACATCACATAAAGTATGCCACTTTTACTTGCACCACATTGGTACAAAAAATGAGAACACAATAATACATGATGATTTTAATTACAATAGTTAGGATACAATATTCTTTCATGGATGATAATGTAATTTCACCAATTGGTGTGTATCACTCGTTATAAATCATCGCGTTATGCATATTTTTGTTTAGCGTTGATCCATTTGTTGCTAGAAAGCAGGCGTCGCCCGACACACACTGTCAATCAACATATTACACATTGCATATTTTATTGTGTAAGAAAACACGGAAAATAAATTTGTACAATGCAAAAAATAATTAAATACAATGCGACTTACAAGATTCATCACAAATACATCTAAGTCCATAGGGGGGGAGGTTATTCCGCTATCAACACTTGGAGTATGGTTCATTACATGAAATTACTCGATCAGTGTAAAAAATATTCGACGTTAAATTGAGCGTCACTAATTGATCTTGGGTCGAAATTTGCGTCAAATTTTTATTTACGTCTGAATCTGCATCACCAAAATCCGTCACAAAAAATTTTCGTCGATATTACAAACAACACTAACATAACGGCACAGGAGTGCCGAAATTGACCAACGAAAATTAGCGTCGGATATAAATAAACAAATCAACAAACCCAATTTCTTTGTATTTACATGTCTTAACCACATTTACACCTAATATACTACATATGCTATTTTAGACTCATATTATAAGTGCATCTAAATATGTGGTAATTTTCATTTTTTAAAAAGATACTTTTTCATGCATAAATATAATTCTATATATGCAATAATTAAAATTTAGGGGTTATATATGTAAATACATAGGAATTAAGCCGTTTGGATGTAAATCTTCCTAAGTTATAATATTCCCTTAATAGGCAATTGGTCATGAAATTGGATTTGTTTGGCAAACCTGTATTTATTGAAAAAATATTACCTCAGGAGTACTGATGATGATGTGCTGTCATGTGGCATTATGATGGGACCATTGCATACGTGACACCTCTTCATCAGTACTTCTGAGATAATATTTTTTTTTCGTATTTATGACCTACATCAACGAACGCAGTTGATTTTTTGAGATAATGGATTAATGGCATGACCTACATCAACCAACGCAGTTGATTTTTTCAATTAGCACCCAATTCTTATGTATTTACATATCTCACACCTGAATTTTTATACTTACACACATAACGCTCACATCTAAAATATCACTATCATCATGATAAATATAAAAATTTAGGTGTGAGATTTGTAAATACAAAATGATTTCCTTTGTTTTTTAATGCAAAATTTGTTAGTTGTGAACATGTGGTTGGAAAATCTATCAGCCAACCTAATCTCAAAGAAATAATTTCGGCTCACGTAATTGACTTTGATTCTTATACCATATATATACACGCGCGCGCGCGCACGCACACAAACAAAAATCAGTCTTTATGGGTCAAAGCATATATCTAGCAACCCTTGCGGGCCCAATAAGTCAAATTATCCAAAAGACTTGATTGTCATCAGAGTGACTCACTAAGATGACTTGCCAACCAGACTCACCGATGTGTTGCTTGTCTTACACTAGCTTTTGAGTTGAAATGCACGATTGACTTCTTGAACTAGCTCCTTGATATGGTATGCATGTTCCTTTTGACTAACTGAACAATTAGACTCACAAGTCTAACTCACCTTCTTGACGATTCTTGGAACTACCAAAACACAAAAATTATGATCGATATCAAGGATGGACATATGTTGTATCCTCATTTAGGAGCTACCTGACGCACACGTAATTTTTGCATTCAGATATCATGGATAGATTTTTTTACGACTTGAGTTGTATTTTAATAATTTATTGAGCATATATAATAGAGGGGAAAGAAGGTCTAGAGAAAGGATCAACTCTTTGGGCCTTTTTCCATAGATCCTGTATCGAGACTATCACAGAACTTGTCTTTATGACATTAAAAAAATCACTTTATACTGGTTCAAAAAATTACCTGTATGTGTTATCACTTAATTCTTATGGAGAGTTCAGGCAAATGTTTGTAAGACAATCTGCTACTACACAAAAGTCACAGAAGAACTCCCAAGCTTTTTTGAAGATCCATCAGAAGCCCTTGGAGAGCCTCAGAAGTTTCATCACACTCTTCTAATGAAAGATATTGGAAGTCTGTGATCTGGAGACACTCGATTTAACTATAAGTTTGTAAGATTTAGAGTACATTTACTCTTCAAATCATGCACTGAAAACTTCTAAAAGTGGTTTTATAGCTTGACATAGGTTTGATTTGAGTTGGATTGAATCAATTTTTTTATCATTGGATTCGTCTCATGGATCCGTTTAGCTTGACTGGCTATAAACTTGTTAAAATCATAGTTCTAGATGACTTTTAATTGAATGTTTGAATCCTTCTTGCACAAAATTGCTTTGAGATTTGTGTTGTGCCTCAATTTGATTAATTACTATATATCTCAGCAAAATATTTATTTGATCAAGTACAAATCCTGTGCAGAGTTTGCATTAAAAACTATCAAAATTAAATTTATATTTCTTTGAACCAATTTCAACAAATTTATAGTCAAACTCAACACTACAAAAAATAGTCGGATGTGACTCCAAATGAGCCCACACTAAACACTTGAACCAAAGTTAAAAATTGAAAATTGTATGCTTACATTCAAAATGTGGCTTGGCAACCAAATCCTAGGAATTAAAGATAATACAATTTTAACATTATTAGCTTATAAAATATCAAACAAATCATGCGATCATGGGAGATCGCTTTACGATTGCAATCAAATTGATTAAAAATCACCATAAAAATTTATAAATAAACCCCCTCTCTTACACTCGAAAGCTGAGACAGAGAAAGAGATGTCTCAAATGTCCCATCTTGTGTATATATATATATATATATATTGGTAGTTAAGTAAAATAGTATAAAAATAATCTAATGCACCAGTGTATTATTTTATATTTAGCCCTACCTTATGCATTCCATGACCCAACAAACCCCATTCAAAATAGGATTAGATAGTCCAACTTAAACCAACTCCACCAAAGTTTGAAAAAACAATATCGGTTCTTAGTTCAATTCAACATCATAGCCTTTTGTAATTAACTTAATAACATTTATTTACTCGTTAATTATATTAATTATATGGATTAAACATAGATTTAAATCTTCAGTTTATTTATTCATTTACTTACTTCTAATGCAGAATATATTGTTATTTGAGAAGGTGGTTGTATAACACATCATTATCAAGCGACCTAATAATAACCAAAATATCAAAAATAGTCCAATAAGATTAATTAAGATGTGATTAGTATAAAAAATATTATAATATGATTTGCTAATCTTTGTATTTAAAGATTTTTTTTTCACAATAATAAGTCAACTAATTTTACAGATAAACCCAACCGAATTAAAGAATGAAGGGTCTGAATCATTAGCGAATACCATGCACAAATATGTAATTCCTCACAATTTTTTATGTATTTACATATTTAACACCAAAATTTTCATATTTACATCGATAACATTTGGTATTATAAACCTATGCACCAAAAAGAACATTTTACTTTTACAAATTGAGCATTGTTAAGACGTTGAGTGTTATGCATGTAAATATGAAGGTTTAGGTGTTAAAAATTTAAATCAACATAAGAATTGTTAGGTAGGAATGCAAATGCACCCTCGTTTAAAACAACATCTTTTAAAACAACGTTGTAAGGAGATATGCAGAATGGACAAGGAAGATTTACATACAAACCACTTGATTCCTATGTATTTACATATCTAACACCAAAACTTCATTTTTTTACATATCTTACCTATGCATTAAAAGATTTATTTTTCATTAGATGGCATGAATATAAATCATACAGTTTATATATATATATACATAAGGATTATGCTATAAGCATGTAAATTTCCCATAAGACTATACAAGAACAGAAGAACAGACGAAGGGAACTTTATGCAGAGATTCATAAGATAAAAAGCTCTGCAAATAGTCCCACATCACATAATTATCATGTGCTTATAGTCACCAAATAAAAAAAATTGAAAAAATAAACCTTTGAAGCAAAGATGTTTAATGTTTCATCAATATTCAGTATTCTTGAGAAGATTTAGCCAACTGTTATTAATGTATTATACATCTTAAAGTGAAATAAGTTCAGAACAACCAATACAGCTCAATGCAGAGAGGAGAGATGATTCAAACTTTCTTAAAAAACTACCAAACTCACCTTTTGATCCAAAAACAAAAGAAAACATCATCAAAGATGCATCTTTGATCATTTCAAAACCATGTTGATGTTAGCTAACTAGAAGATTTAGAACCCATTCATCTCCAGCAAGTAAGTCCTCCGCTTCAATAGGGCCTTTACAGCAGCCCTGAAAGGCCCATCGAACGCCCCGCTAACGAATGCCTCGATCTCCTTCCGAGTGCTACCATGACAGCCACCGCCGCAACCTGTGCTGCCGACGGTGGCTGCACATCCATCGTTCGAAGGCCTGATTGCTACCAAAGTAGCTCCTTGCATCCCCATTCCCTCAGGCAGCTCCAGGTAAGGAGCATATCTCAGCTTCATATTCGATGCGGGCACCTGTGTTCGATTCGCCGATGCTGAAGCTGCCAATGGCTTCTCCCTGAAATCCCTCAGCTGCTCCTCACCCATTATCAGCGTCCCCTGCCCGTCAGCATCGGTAAGAACCAAGCTTCTCAGTGTAGGATGATCCTTAATTATTGGCTTAAGAAGATAATGCCTGGTGGAAGCAGCAATCAGCGAGCTAATCGTCCACACAACGCGCAATTTCAGGCCGCCGTTCGTATAAAATGACTCTGGTATGCTCCCATTGTCCTCAGCCGAAGAAGAAGAATCCTGATCACTCAAATTCAGTTTTCTTTCAATCCTGGTTCCACCAAGTATCACACAATTTTCGAGCGTGCTCCCAAATTCGGCTCGCCATTTGAGCACCACACCGTCCTCGGTGCCAACATCGCCTGCCGGAAGCTCGATTCGGAGATTGCGGACGTGCGCGAAGTTCTTGAGGACTTGGGCTGGGGAGTGGTGGGATAGCTGGGGGAGGAGGGGCTTGTTTGAGCTGCCTGAGTTTTGGAGATTGTGGAATGGTTTGAGAAAGGTGAGAAGCAGGATTTTAAGAAGATGGGAGAAGAGGTTCCTAGGCTTTGAGGAGGAGAGGTTTAGGGAGTCATCGGAGGTGTCGCCGTCCACCGTTACGACGCGGTCGATCTTGACGTATACATCGTGGACAAGGGGGACAAGAGAGTTAAACCTCTTGGAAACAGCCGCACAGCGGCCGAGAGCACGGATGTCGGCAACATAATTAAGGATTTGGAGGATGAGAGGGTCAGGAATTCGATCAAATTGGTCCTCTTGAAGGGGCGAATCTGCATGTATTCTGGATTTTGATTGCATTTTGTGGCTTAGAAGTTAAAATTTGTAGCTTTCAGTGGCCGAGATGGATTAGTGGAAGCCTGTGGGATGTAGAGGATTTCTTCTTATGAGGTTGAAGAAACACAAGCAAAAGAAGTATTGAAAGATGATGGGCTGAAAGCCAGTTCGATTAAGCAACCTGCGACAAATAAGAAAAAAGATGAACTTTTACCCAACAGATAAAAACTAAGAACACAAAGCAATTTCATTTCGGATTATTTTACATCAAATATCCAAAAGAAAAAAAAAAATCCTTGATCTAGAATAGCAGAAGAGAAGGATATTGATAGGATTGCAATTTGTATGATCTTTTATCGGATTTTTAAGAGTTTCTTAAAATTAATAGGCTAAATAATTAAAAAACGACTGCTGAAAGCCCATAAAACCAGAAAACCAATCTGACTAATCAATCTGAAACAAATGAGATGGACGCCTACACATCAGAACCAGCACCAAAAGCAGAAAGATCCCTCATTTTCAACCCTTTTTTTTCCCTTCAAATTTGCAAAAGAGAAAGCATTTGATGGTGAAGGAGAACATTTCCCAAACGCAAAAAGTTGTATCCTCAAATCCACAATACTATAAATCAAAACATGAGACCATTTAACCTAATCAGCACCTCACCTCCTCCAAGATCACATCTTTGACCGGAAAACCGCCATCAATCGCCGGAAAAACACTTCCATCCCTCCAATTTCACCGCAGAAACTTCAAAATCTGCCGATCTAAGCCGGTTCAAATATCTATTTGACCGCGAAGTTTCATGGGTAGAAGAGGAACGAAGACTTGGGAGGTGGAGAAGAAGGGATCAGTCAAAAAGTAGGGATTTGAAGGGGAGCGGAGCCTTAGCTCGCTGTTTGCCTCTCGGTCTTCTTTATGAGAGCTTTCCGATATTCTACTTCGCAATTTCAACCCAACACTGTAAAAGAGAGATCAAACGGCGCCGTTAGGTTCTCGTCGTCTTTGTAGACTATAGATTAACGTCGTTTTGTCAGCTAACGTCGGGTCGCCTGGGAGGCACAAGTGGCGAACCGAAGAAATTTTAGTGCCGTTTTACATTATTTATATATCTAGCATCTAAATTTTAATTTTTTACATGCTAAAAATTAGTAATAGTAATTTTTTTAATATAAAATTGAGATTTAATGGTATAAATGCAAAAAAATGAAAGTTTAGGTGTAAGACATGTAAATATATAAAAATTATGTGACGTGCATGTAAATCAAAGTGAATGATACATTTTTTGGAAGATGAGAAGTCATGTCACAAGAAGCAATTACTTGGATTCATAACAGCAAATCCCAAACAACATAAAACACAATTACAAAAAGGAAACAAGTGCCCCCGCTCAAATAGCTTTAGCATACCAAATCTCGTAGTCAAACAACATCTCTAAACATCAACATCAAAATAAAGCTCCTCAATCATCAACATGTCCAAGCAGTTTCCTCAATAAAAAATTCAAACCAATCAAAAGAACAATAACATCTTCTTGCAACCAGATAACCGCCAATCAACAACAATCCAAATAATATCATCTAAATAGAGCTCCAAAGATCAATAAAACAACATCTAGAGAACCTGCAATATCAATTCGAGCAAAACAAGAGCTTCAAAAATCAACTACCAAACCCAAAAAGATCTAAAAAGCTAAAAAAAAACAAAAGGTTAACCAAAATTTTCCAAATCCAAAAGGTCCATAGAACAAATGAAAACAAACAAGCATAGCCAACATAAGGAGGAAAGAACCAAAGCTACTAACACTAGAGAGGATAGGAAACCAAAGTGAGCAAACAAAATAAGAAAAATAAGCTACCACAATCTAAATAAAATAAATAAGTAATGTGTAAATAATAATAAAAAATAAGATCTTAGAAAAACTCAAATCCATAACCAAGAGAATTCATCCAAATTCATTAAAAGAAAAATCTCAATAGGTTGATCAACCTACAATTCTCCTAGACAACTTATTCTCTAAGAAAACTAAAAGAACAACAATCTTACAACCTAAATACTTGCTTGTCCTATTGTTAAAGGGTTGACACATAACAAAGCCAATTGAGAGTATGTTTGGGGCAACTACATCTTATTAAAAATTTGTTGCGCAACAGCTGTGCCGGGAAGCTGCTGCGCAAAATTTTTGTAGGGAAACTGTATCTTTGTTTTGTACAGTTGTATATCTGTAAATGTTTATGATAAAAAGATCTTTCTGTCAATGTACTGTTGTGTTATTTATAACAGAATCAGCCCAGGTTGCACACTTTATACACTGAAGCAGATATCCAGTTTGAATATTACATATTAAAAGTAACACCTCAATAAATAGTGAGCAAGAGAACAATCAAAATAAAAAATAAAATAATCTACATATCATAATCAAATTATAGCAGCAGTCGGAGGTGTTTTACAAAGCTTGCTAATCGTTCTTGACTCCGAGCTTTCTTCAAGTTTGTGTAATTAACATGCAGAGTTTCACTTTTTCTCTAATCGAAGATGTGGATACATTATTACAATCACTTGTTTTTTCCTTCTATTGTTATAAGTTGGGTTAGCAAACAACAATGTTAATTGAGTAACAATGATCTGACAGCAATAGCATGAAGATAATAATCATGATGATGATTGTTAGGGGTTGTTGACATTGAGCTTTCTTCAAGTCTGCATACTTAACTCTTAATTAGGGGCATGCAGCCGGTTGTTGGAGGTCGGGTGCTGAGCTCACAAGCAGGTTATGGACGGCAGAATGATGGAGACAATAAAAAGCTAGCAATAATGCAAGTGAGAGGACGGGAGATTACTAATAAGGTTATTGCTTTTAATAGGGTGGTGTTATTTTTTATATTTTTTTAATTGGTGGGCACTATAAATGTAAATAAGAGACATTATGCGTGACATATGTGGTAAGGTTTTAAATACTTGTATATATTATGTGACAGTAAAGTTATGATGTTTAATATAAAATTTAACTTGTTACATTCAACACAAATATAAAATAGAATACACGAGGTCAAACTTGTTACATGAAAAATCTTGAAATGGGAGGGGTGTAATTGTGCCAGGTCGACTTGTTAAGTCTTGTGCTGACTCGTTTAAAAATATAGTAATATAAAATTTATTAAATTTTACGATTTTTATTTTTAAATTATTAAAAATATTTTAAAAAAAGATATTTTATATTGTTTATAAATTGATTTCTTATTATTTATTTTCTAATTTTTCATTCTATTTATCATTTTATTATAATAATGGCATAAACTAATATTATTTTTTGCCTTTTAAAATAAACAAGTTGGCTCATGAACCTGCTCAAACTCATGACTTAAGCTCGAGCTCAATCTAAACTAGATTAATTAATCAAGCTCAAACTCAATTTGAGGATGGCTCGAGCTCGACTTGGCTCGTTTACACCCCTAGCTTTCCCCGGCACATACATATTGAAAATGATTTTTATTTATAGATTTTTGAAAGGAGCATTGTAGTAAATTTATCCAAAATCCCATTTTATGGGATGGTCCGTGTTGTTCCTTCCATTATTGAGGATTATATTACTTGAAGTGGGTAGGATAGTTATAATTATCAAATCATGCACGTACGAAATGAATAATTTCATGAAATCAACATGCTTCTTTGGCCAGAATAGTCTAACTGCCCCCAAACATTAATGGCGTCCACATAGTATTAGCTATAACACAAGGGTTGTTAAACAATCAGACTCCTTTATTAACTTTGTCATTACATAGCTTCAACATTTAGGCCAATAGAATTGAGCCCAACCCGATCGATGGCTAAATTTTATGCAAACATACATACACATATGCCTACTTATGCCTGAGAATGTGTATTTCACTTTTGAAAAGTTCAAATAGTCTTATTTTTTATGTGATATGAAAGATTTGGTTGATATAAATGTAAAAAACTGAATTTTAGGTGTTAATAAATATACTAGCACAAATCTCGAAGAAACTGAATGACCAGAAATAAGGGCGTATGGATGGAGATTCGAGTTAGGGAGCACAAATCTCACTAGCAAGCAGTCGCCCGAATTTATAGTAGAACCGACCGACACGAAGTGTCGGTAGATGGAGACTTCTGACCTACGCAACCATCAGACGGGGAAACACAGTCAAAGGGACATGCATCTCTGTCACGTAGCTGAATATCCATGAAAAAGATACAATCGACCAATGCAGCCGACCAACCCAAGCACTCGGCGCATAGCCGATCAACCTTAAGGTCTTAGACGACCAATCGACATCAACTTTTACTTTATTACTATGTAATCCCTATAAAATCATTCAGACAATTATAATAATTGTTATTTCCTTACATGTAATTGTATTTGGAAACTCTTATAAATAGGAGGTCGTGATAGGAGGTCACGACAGCAACAAAATGACTTTTGGATTCTTTCACTTTTGGATTCCCACGCTTACTAGGTTCTGACACTTGAAGATTCTGCGACAATCTTAACTTCTCTCTCCTTCACTTCTCTCCTCTCAACTCTAACTCTCAGAGTGTCTTACAAGAAAGCATTTTTATGATTCAATAGATATGTAAATAGATAGGAATTGGGTGGTATGTATGCAAATGTTCCTAATTTAAAAACTTCAACAATGAAACAAGCAGTAATTCAAATTCCAAGAAATTGTCAAACTAAATCCTAATTTATTAAATCTAAATATAATTAAATCCAAGCTAATATTTGGTTTAATTAAAATTAAATCCACTTGAATCCATTTGAGCTGTTTAGCATAAACTTAATTGGAAATATCTTTTTTTCTTGCCCTAAATCCGTTAAATCTAACTAATAAATGAATTTAATAAATCCAAATTTAATAAATAAAACAAACAAATATTGAATTTAATATCTAACCTATACTTATTATGCTCGGCTGAATTTAATTTAAATCAAACTTACACCCTCTTAAAAATAACATACCAAACATATCCTAAGGGTCTGTTTGGGGCAGCTTATTTGGTGCGATGACGTTTTGAAAACGCACCTGACTTGTTTGGGTAAACCACGTTTTGACAACTTATGCGTTCTCAAAACGCTGAAAACGCTACTGCACCTGTCTAGGCCCGGTGGCAGCTTTCTGGCTGCGGACTCACTTTCTCCAGAAAATAAAAATTTGTAATAGTTACCGCACCTAGCTTATCAGTAGAATATTCAATAAGCTGCAGCTACCCTAATTAGTTGCAACTGCCCCAAACAGACGTTAAGAGTCAGAGTAATTACAAAAGACTATGAAAAATTCAACGTCTTGAACAACCTATTATTATAAGATTGAATTTAAGAAAAAAAAATCTCGTATAAATAGCTCGAGACTATTTTGAGGCTTTACTCGATTGCAATTATTTTCAGGTATCTATCAATCTTTTCATGGTTTGCAGAAATTATTTTTTTTAATTGAAGACCTTTCACTATTTATTTATTTTCAACCAACATATTCAAGCAATACAAAGCTAAAGTTTTCCTTCACATAATAAGATACATCCTCACCTTGTAGAGGTGAACTTTAACTTGGCAACTAATTGAAACTGAATATTGAGTTTTTAATCAAGAAAACTGCTTCCTTTCCCTAAAATGGAAGTCAATTTTGTGAAACGTGAGCTTTATAAGGCTTTTATTCCATAAGAAACCACTATATAGTTTTTCTATATAAATAATAAAAATTATTTTTTTGATGTAATTTAAATAATTAATAATTTTACTTCCTGAATATATTTTTTTACCCCTCCTTTTCCCTCTTTAAAATATCATGATTCATGATCCCTTTTATAGGAGAGAATTTAAGTGATTTTAATTACAAATTCAATCACAAAATGTATATGTAAACCCTCAAATGATAAAATCACTCATTTCAAAGATTAAACCCTAAACCAACAGACCGAAAATTGGCAACAAAACACATTCCTTGTCCATCATTCAATAATCATTTTCAAAAGTTCTACAGCGCACATAAGAATTACGCAGCGCTGCGTACGTCATGAGGTTATACATATAATATTGGGAGGTTATATCCGCGTTATATCTCCTATAACCTCCCTATAACTTACATGTAACCTACAAATATATGAAAATAGAAGCGCGAAACTTATTTATAGATTACAGGTAGGTTACATGGAAGTTACAAGGGAATATAACGTGGATAAAATGCCCTAATACCCCATGAATAACCTCCCTAACATAAGCAGCGCAGCGTACGTCTTACGTACGCAAATTTTCAGAGAGAGAGAGAGAGAATGGAATTAATGGAGTAATGAGGTAGCTAGGGAATTATTGGTTCTGCACTTACTGCAGTAATGGGCTGAGGTGGAAGATAACGGCGTTTCATGAGAAAGGGAAAAGAAAATAGGAAGGATAAAGAAAATAAATAAAGGGGCATTTATATACATACCAACACACTTCTTATGTATTTAAATATCTACCATCTAAATTTTCATAATTACATTTATACCACTCAAAATTTTAACATCACATAAACAATTCCACCATTATTAACTATTTATAAATGAAATACACATTTTCATGCATAATTTATAACACCAAAATACTATTAATGTAGATATTAAACTTTCGGTGTTACATATGTAAATACAGAAGAAGTCTGTGGAATGTACGTAAATTTCTCATAAATAAATGAGGAATTAAAACATGTTTGTCCTCATGCACTTCATCTCCACCTTAAAATACACCCATCCTTGTCCTGAATGTAGAAAGCTTAAATATGATAGAACCGAGAATGACAAAAATGGCTGCTAGATATAGATAAGACTGATTGAAGGCCATTTGGGAATCATTTCAGCAAAAATCTTGACTAATACAACGCCATAAATACTACATGAAACATATAAATCCAGCACCACAAAGAATACGGCCAAGGAAAATTTTAAATTTTAAAGGTGTGGGGTGAAAACCAAAATTACATCGAATAACGTTACAGCTTGCAAGCATACAAAATCTCATCAAACATTGGGACAAGCATATAGAAATCTATGCTCCGGATTACCGATCTAAAGCGTTACGGAATCTGCACATGCGGATTAGTGGTATTGTGGTGGTATTGCAACTCAATACCACCACAATACTGTCAATTATCATTAAATCTACATCCATTCGTACCTATTCTATCCGCACGTAATAGTTTTTGCTGGTCTACTTAGTTGTTTGTCTCAGTTATCTGCTCCTCCAGTGCTTCAGGATGATCAGTAAATGTTCTTTCAGAAATGAGTCGTCCAACCTTAACATATTTCTCCATGAATTTGTCTTCCCAATCATGCAAGACTTCGAGTTCAGAAGCACTGAGACCATGGAGGTTGCCGGTCAGGTCGTTGTGGTCAAAAGACATGAGGGCCAAGGCCCGGCTAGATTCCCTCCCGGCAAATAAAGAATAAGGCCCACCAGGTCCGTAGAACATTCTGAGACAACACGGAAAATGTGGCGCTTGTCAGTTATTAGTTTTTAAGTTTAGTTTCTTAAATGAACCACTATTTGCATACATACCACCCAATTCATATGTATTTACATATCTAACACCTAAATTTTAATATTTAAGTTCATAGCACTAAAATCTTTAACATTAATTTAACTAATTGTTCAAAAGGTTGTTACTTTGAAGAAGCACCAAGGTGTTGAATGTAAATATCAAACTTTTAAGTGTTAGATATGTAAATTCATTAGGATTATTATGTATACATGTAAATTTTCCTTTTTATTATTATTATTATAATGATTTATCCTTCGGAATTCACATCGACGTGAGAAGAGAATCTAATCATATTTAAAACGTTGGAGCACAACTAGTGTTAATTAACTCTATTACTTTCCTTGAGATAACCATGGCGGCTCAGGTCGTCATGTAAATAAAAAATTCGCTAGGATGGGTATTGCATATGAATTATTGAGTTTCAATTTGGATAGAAATTAATTTTATCTTTTTAAATTTTAATTTAAAAGTATACATTAATTTGATCCCCTCATAGCCACATCTGCAAGCTTGAGGGATGAGAAATTTATAAATAGTTGTTTTAAGGCGTATAATTATCATATTTTTTCATGATTTAAATTTCTCATCACAATTTTAATCATGTTGCATCAAAAATACAATATATTTTAACACCAAAATGTTATAAATGAAAAAATTAAACATTAAGTGTTAGCTATGTAAACACATAAGAATTGTGTGGCATGCATGCAAATTTCCCTTAATTTAAAAGGTCTTCTGATATTTTATATATTTATTTCACCAAAATATATGGTCCTAAAATCCTAAAAATCGTACAAGTGATCCTACACCAAAAAAAAAAACTTCTTGTATGTTTTAAACCATTTGGACAACATGCCGCTTATTAAAACCCTCGTTTAGAAATTTTTAATATTTAAAAGAACAAAATTTTATAAAATGATAAAATCTATTTAAAACGGCCCCTTAAAGTCCCTAGGTAGCACTTGACCCATTTTGTTGTCCTTGGAGGTTTAACCCCTCCAAGTTCAACCCAACCCTACCAAAGAGCTAGGGTTCGACCTATTTGATCCATTAAGTCTTTAGTTGATTGGTGGAGCCATTGACCTTGATTTGGGCCACTATGAGTCATGCCAAGTGGATCATTAAGCATTGTCATGATCAACTTAGCTCAACCATAAGTTGATCGTGGTTGAATTGGTTAACCATAGGAGTGTTAGTAACCTTTTCTCAATTTTCCTATGAAGCACGGACGCGGACACAGGAACATGGATATGGCACGACACAATACAGGAACACGACATAATTAAAAAAATAGGACACGACGCATCATGGACATGTTTTAATATTTAATTAGTTATTAATATAAAAAATATATTTTTTATTTTTCTTTATTAAAAACATCACAAAACAAAGTATGCAATAATAAAATTTAATTTTATAAATATATTTTATATTCTAAAACCTCATGCCAATAAAAATAAATTTTCAAAATTAGACACATAGCATGTTTCAAAAAAATTCCTACAACTTATCTACTAAAATTTAAATAATCCTAGAGACCCTATACTCCTACAAATCCTAGTATTGTCCTACTTGAGCCATAATTTTCTTTTGGATGATCCTAAGTGAACTAACATATTGATCCTTAAACTAACCTAGTGACCCTAGAGATTTAAGCCTCAAGGGCCTAATTATCAATCCTAGGCTATTCTAGTTGATCATAAACTGATTATTGACCTTAGATGACCTTAAAATTGCTTAATACATAAATTAGTGTTAGGTCAACCTTCATGAGAACTGTGACATGACATAGCACCTAAAGGAGAAGTGTTTAAATCATTTGGACATTTTGACCTTAGAATGCCATGGTCCACCTCAATTTGGAGTATACCAATCTTTAAGATCTATAAAATCATTCATTATCATAAACATAAAAAAAGCAGAAACTTTGAAAATGAGTCCCCCCTACCTTATTAGTCTAGACCTCTTGACACTTGGCTTTAAGATCTACAATCTTGAAATGAATTGCCCCTTCACTCCACTAGTATTTTGTCACATAGCCTAACCCTTAGATCCAAGAAATAAGACTTATAAATAATTTTTTGAGTTAAAAATCAATTATAATCTAAGTAACAATTTTTACGAAGTAAATGTTAAGCTAAGGCACTAAGCACTAATACGATGTGAAATAAGATAACCAAAGTATTTAATCATTCCAAAATAATTAAGAAAACTTCAATACATGGCAGTCTTATTTGTAGTAATTACATTTATCATAATTCAAGAAAAATAAGAGGAAAATTTTGGAGGGACAGGTGGATGACCATCTTTTTTTAAAACATTATACCCTCTCCAAAATATAGGCTATGAGACAGTATGATGACATGGCCTACCTTAGCGCTTATTTTGATCATCACTTTTTGGTTATCTATAAATCCTTAATGACGAAACCCACAAGTCATAAAATGGAGTAACCAATAATTCAGAATATTAATGCTTTAACTGAAACCACCTTTGGTTAACGAACTTGAACATACTTTTATCAATAGTATAACTTAAACATCACATGTTAATTAGATTAGTCACCATTACCAGCTTAATACACGTTAAATGTTGTGAAAGGTACATTTTAAACATTCTAGAATTAGAATGTAGTTAGGTTTGCACTCTCCTTCCATGTGGAGTGATGTATTGATGGGTTGGTAACACTATTGGTTATAATTATATGCACTAATATGGGGATATTTTCACCATGTAAGTGCTTATCATGTGGTATCGCTGCTATTAGCTTGCTTCGCACAATGTTGTGTTAAGCCAACAATGTTTAGAGAGAATTCGTGTGTATATGTTGGAATTGGCTAATGTACTATTTCTTTGTCAAATTTTAGACTAAAAAAATAGTGTAGAATTGTATGATGATCTAGAAGGCAGGGAGCCGGATGGAATCCTATGAAAGACCCAACAAGTCATCTATTTAATGTATAGATCATAATAATTGGTTATATATCCATCTTATTCTTTTCTCTTTCTAATATGTATCGTATAACTCAGTTGAACTTAGATATCATTTATTCCTTTATTGCAAATTATTATATTTATTTTACTCCATAGAGCGCTAGAAATTCAATGGCCTTTCATGGCCTTTCATATACTTGATAGGCTCTTAGAATGTTATATCTTTACCCTAAATTTTAAATAATATAAAATCAAGCATAAGTAACTGATTTTCATTAAAATCTAATGCATGATTTATCTTTAAATCATATTTTTCAAGTAATCATAATCAATCATAGAACCTACAGAGCCAAAATATGAATGGTTAGTGTTCAGTTGACTGACTTGCCCATTAAAGGTGTGCTCAAGAGATAATAGATAAATATCTCATACCGATTGATGTTGGGGACTTAGGGGAGGTCAAGCCTGACTGAACCGGCCACTACGTGCAGCAGAAGAAGGCTCTCAGTCCAGCATGAGGCTGGACCGGCCCTCTCCTCCTTTCATTGGGCGGGAATTATTCCCTCCTTGCTTTTCTGTTTTTACGCCTATATATCTATTATAAATATGTGTGTTTGTTGTCTTAGGGTTTAATTTTTGCTGAGTTTCTGTCCAAGCTAGCCCTCGGTGGTTGTTTTCCCCTCCAAGGGGGGAGGTGGTACTTCAGCTATAACTCGTTTGAGATAGTGACCTCCTCAAGGGTTTGAGAGGTGCTCCAACTGTAACTTGATCCTGCGGTGATATTCATCCTGACATATTTCCCTCCACCCGATCGCTGCCATCTCACCTACACCCACCCTTCCTATTTTCACAGCCCCAAAACCCTCTCAAATGAGAGCCTACTGTAGCCCCTCTCCAATAAACCCTCCTATTCTTGTTTTCACTGCCGCCAAACCCTCTCTCGTGACCACCTGCTGCAGCCCCTCCTGTAACCCCTTCGCTTCCTAAATTTCTTCCTGCTGTCACCCCAAACCCCTCCACGTATTAACATGTTGCCGCCATTTCCTTCCCTAACCTGCTTCCTTGGACCACTGCACCCGACCACCTGTTGTTGTAACCCACTATCCACCCTCCCAGCCATAAGCTGACACTGCCAGCTACCCCACTGTTGTACCATAACCCCTTCCACACCTTGTATAGCTGCCACTGCCCCAATCCACCATATCTCTTGCCACTCGGCCCTCGGCCGAGGTTTTAAGCATTCGCCCTCGCCCTCGCCCTAAGAGATCTTTAATGTTGTGCTTGTTTTTTTTCTATTATCAAGAGTCATTGTGTGTAACTCAATTGAATTTTAACAATAATATTTTCATTTATGTTGTGGTTTGGGTTAACTCCAGTAATATATAGTATCAGAGCTAGAATAATCCTACTCCTATCCTAGGGTTCATGGCATTCGCCCCTAACCAAGCCATTTCCACCAAAAATTTCTTTCCTAACACCCACCAAATTATAGTCAAATATTGATCTAATCCTAATTTCCAATTGACGATTTTATAAATCAGTAACCCTAATTAAATTTTATACACCTTCCATTAGCCTCATACACCCTCTTTCATCTTCAAACCCTAAACCATAGTCATGTCACCAAAAAGATACATGTCCGGGCCTACCCGGGAAAAGATAAAACAAGAGATCCTTCAACTTTAAAGGAGGTTTGCAGACATTAAGGATGAAACCCAGGGGGAGGTTACCCTTGACTAGGATCTGGAGAGTCAAATGGGAGAATGAGGCGATGATCTGAATCCCTTCCATAGGGAGGATTTTAGTGGTGTTGAAGACCAACTACGATGCTTTGAAATCTAATATCAAAAGAAGACGAGAAGAAAAACGAGCATATGGATGATACAAATACTTCAGAATAAATGTAGATCTACTAGAGTTCGATGGATGTATGGATCCCTGCGACTTCATTAGTTGGTTGAAGTCATATGAGATAATCTTCAAGTACAGAGATGTAAC